GGACAGCAGGGCTACGGGCACCCCCGGTGGCGGGAAAAATGTCCCATGACACATCCCATGCACCCGCCATGGGGGATGCACCCCTGGCACCCCCCCCTGCCATGCATGCCCACCGCTGGGGACGTGTCCCACGTCCCCGGGCAGGGCGGAGGGGCTGCTCATCCCTTCCCCCCCGTTGGGCACAGCCCAGTCCTGAGGTTTCTGGTTAATAAGGCTGGGGCTCAACCCTGGCCATTTTGGAGCGGGGAAGCCTATTAATAGCCGAGCTGGGCTATAATTAACAGAGCGAGGCTGCCACGCGGAGCCACGCTGCCCAGCTGGGGGGAAACCGCAGGGGAAGGAGGGCAGGTACCCGCCGCAGAGCGGTTGGCAGCCCCCACGCTGCCCCGCACCCCCCCGGTCAGAGCTGCCCACCCTGCTGCCCACCATGCCCATCCCGGTCCCCGTGCCCCAGGCTGAGCCCCTTACCTCCGGCGGAGCCCCGGGTGGGCCCCGGGAACCAGGGCAGGAGCAGGAGGAAGAGCAGGTACACCAGGGAGAGGACGTTGAAGCGGAAGAGGCAGGCAGGGGGCAGAGGTGTGGGTAGGGTTAGTGACGGGGATGTGACGTGGGGAGGGTGCTGCACCCCACCAGGATCCCTGGCTGCATCCCACCCCACCCCGGGAGAACCTCGAGGATGGCACCCCAAACTGCACAGCGAGGGATGCCCGAGCAGGAGGTGAGAGACACCTCAAAATGAGAGGCACCCCAAAATGATGGGGAGTCCCAGACAGGGGCTCAAGTCCCCCAGAGATGCCAGTGAGGGACACGGGCAGGAGCCCAGGCTGGGTCAGTCCCAGCGACCCACGTGGGTGGCATGAGGAGGTGGGGGACACCAGAGGTCGCAGACATGTGGGGTTACAGGGGAACAAGAGCCATGAGCAAAATCTGCTGCCTTTCCACATTGTTCCTGCAAGACCACGCCGAGGTTTGCAGGGACCCCCACGGACGAGCTGGGACGCCCATGGATGAGCTGGGACACCCCCCCCACAGCCACCCTGGGGCGGTCACAGCCCCTCACCTGCACCCAGGGCACGCCACCAGCTCACCACCTTCCCCCTCGCTTATTTTTAGACCTAAATTACAGCTTGTTCGCAGGCGTGAAACCGTCGGAGGAGCTGGGCAGGGAGCGGGGCTGAGCCAGCGCCCCGGTGAGCGGCCGCCGGCGGGGACAAGGGACGGCATGGCGGAG